ATATTCTTTCAATTCTCTTCTCGGGCATGAGTACGCTTCAGAAGAGAAAAGAAAAGATAGACGTCGTTGTCATAGTTTGCGCAATATTCATATATAACATATAATTAAACGATTTTTGTTGAAATAAATTCAAACAGTAAGCTTAGAAGTTATACAGCAGTTATATTTCATTACATATAGATACAATGTAAGTTGCAGCTTTTTCTTATTCTAATTTATTATCACACAACAGCCCATATGCTATAGGTGATGAGTGCGTTAACTGTGAACTGGCTGTATGACGAACATTAATTCTATAATGTACTTGGAGAGTGAAGTGATTTTATGAAATATATTGGCGTATAACGCATTTATAAGACTTCAGTTTTGCTAATATTTTCGTTAATAATTATGCTTCATATTCACTATTCTCTATAAAACTTGACGAAAGGATAATCACAAGTAAGAAATCAAAATCTAAGGTTAGATTTTTATTTCTATATTTTGTTTTACGGATTAGGAATAATACATAACAAAAATTAATAAGATGAAAATCTGACCCCAATTTAGAACTTACGACACTCGTAAATTTCTAGTCTCCTTTCTAATTCCAAAAACAGTGCATTTAAACCACATATTCTATAGGTTGTAACACAAATAATATGAGTCACACTTTTAGGGAACATTTCAAAATTTTTGCGGTTCAACCAGCCGCTCTGCCGCGGCGTAACTGATTTTTTTTTTAATTGCATTTTGACATATTATTTTTTTTCTTTTGATGTATGCATACATATGCACGAAGTGTACCCTAGTGAAACATCTTGTAAGCACGATCTTGAAATCTTGGAACCGATAAGCAAGATCTTGAAAAGATTTGGAAAAGATCATATGTATGTGAATATCTTGGTTGTATTGGACAAATCTGCACTAAAGATCTTGTCAAGATCATAGAAAAGACATCATTTACTATTATCTTCTCACAAGATCTTGAGTAAAAGAACGATATCATTAGTATTTATGTGCTGACTAGTCATTCACCGTTCTTTTTATGCATACATAGCCGTATATAAACAACGTGTTTGAACATGTGAAACATACATTTTCAAAATAAATTTTTTAAAAACTATTTCTCGAATGTTAATTATTCGAGAACATACTGATCTCGATCAATCATCGAGGGAGGACTACCTTGAAGCAGTCCAATGGAGATCGAGCTATCTTAAGGTCAGTCAGATTCCAAGGTCTGACTTGCTTCAATTATTTGAGATAGGAATAATTCAAATCAAAATAAACTGAAAAAGTGTGATAGTATGATTTTACAAAAAAAAATTCGCTTTATGGTAGGTTCGAGCCGTAGTTTCAGAATAAATCATGTATTGTATCGCAAATCACGACGTACGAAACAGATTTTATCGTAATATGTGCCCAAGATCTAATGAATCCATTCCTAAGATCTTATTAATCTGTGCCCAAGATCCTAAATATCTGTAAAAAAGATCCTACTTATCTGGACCCAAGATCTGATTCAAGATCTTGGTACAAGATAATGTGATTATCTTGTAGCTAAATTTTCAAGATCTGTTAACATTTCTGTACCTTGTATCTTGCCCAAGATCTTGCTTACAAGATGTTTGACAAGGGTATTTTTCTATTTCTATTCAATATTCTTTAGTCTTAGACTATTCATTTTCTCCAAAAACAATAAACTTTTTAATTCGTGATAATAATTTCGTCCAACTTTATTACGTTAAAAACGTAATAATGATATTTGTCTCATTCTTTCTTGAGACTTTTCCTTTGCTTTGAAAATCAACCAACTGTAACTTGACATAATAAAAACTCTTTAAAAAGTACTTGAAAATTGGATGAAACGTATTATAGATGAATCAAGTTTATAGGGAAAAGCTTGTATCAAACTGAATATGTAGTTAAACTGTAGTTTATGAGAAATAGGAAAATAAAATATCACCCATTCATCTACTCCAAGGGGGAAAGTGCAGGCACCCAGCACCTGCTCAGCACCTACAGCACGTATACCGCATTCCACTGTGAGCACCTACGGTACCTACGGCACTTTCAGCATCTTCAACAACTATTCTATTGTCTTAAGTACTTAAGATAATGAAACAATGGTTGCAGGTGCTGAAGGTGCCGTAGCTGCTCATAGTGAAATGCGGTATAGGTGCCGAACAGGTGCCGTAGGTGCTGGCAGGTGCTAATAGGTGCTGAGCAGGTGATGGGTGCTAGGCGTCTGTACTTACCCCCTTGTCTTACTCTCTTTTGCAGTCGCTTGGACAGCAGCTGTTGGTCAAGCGACTGAAAAGGAGAGAAGCATAGAGGAAAAAATGTGACTGTCCTAGAAAACAAATAAGCTAGTATATATTATTATTTTCTTATTCAAATGCAGATTCATCACTATCTTCAACAATTTCTGGAGTTTCTTCGCTTAATTTTTTTCGTTTTGGACATTATTAAAGTTAAATAGATAATCATAAAATGTATGATGCGTATGATTTTTGTGAAATGATGATTTGTCATAATTATTTTTTCTTCTGAAAATAGTTTTTTTTGGAACACTAGATAAGCTTAATTGTTGCATTGTTTTGATGATCGTATTCCATTCCCATGTGATGAGACTTAATTAACAATACATGCTTGTATATATCTTGTTAGATTTTGCCCATAATTGGCTTAACTTGTGTATACGTATATCACGATTGACCGAGTTTATATGTTGTGCTAAAAAAAATAATCAGTCGTATTTTCTATACAAGAATAGATGCTATTTTATTTTCCTATTTCTCATAAACTACAGTTTAACTACATATTCAGTTTGACACAAGCTATTCCCTATAAACTTGATTCATCTATAATACATTTCATCCAATTTTCAAGTGCTTTTTAAAGAGTTTTTATTATGTCAAGTTACAGTTGATTGATTTTCAAAACAAAGGAAAAGTCTCAAGAAAGAATGAGACAAATATCATTATTACGTTTTTAACGTAATAAAGTTGGACAAAATTGTTATCACGAATTAAAAAGTTCATTGTTTTTGGAGAAAATGAATAGTCTAAGACTAAAGAATATTGAATAGAAATAGAAAAATATACACTTCGTGCATATGTATGCATACATCAAAAGAAAAAAATAAAATGTCAAAATGCAATTAAAAAAAATCAGTTATGCCGCGGCAGAGCGGCTGGTCGAACGGCAAAAATTTTGAAATGTTCCCTTACAAAGACTTCCTTTTGTATAGCCACTATGTGGCCTAGTTTCAGCACTATAACGTGATTCATTGAAAATAAGATGAAACCATATATAATTGTTTTGTATTAGATCGATCGGACTTTTCAGTACAACTGATACGCCACATTTGAGACGTATCTGATTAGAAAGAGGCGACATATGCACAGTGGTAGTTGATGATATCAATAAAACTGATTTGAATGCAAACACTCGAAGCAGAAGACTATGCTAGTCTTTAAAGAATTTTGTACCGAATCAGCCGTTCACCATTACCACTTGCAATTCTGCTTTGAAACGAAGTCAACTGTCAATGATAAAGAGAAAAGACAACTACACATAATGTGTTGGCATCAGAAATCTAGCTTTGACGAATTTGAAAAAGAAGAAAAGAGAATATAAAATATTGATTCTCATATTTTTAAATACATTCTTCGAGAAAGCTGACATAGAATTCAAGAAACATTTTTTTCTCTGAACAATCACTTTAATATGGAACAAACAGTGTATTGAAAAATAGACATGGGAATACACTAACAGAAATGTGTTACTACTTATAGTGTCGCAGACTTCATCACAAAAATGTTTCGTAATTAACATGTGTCATATTATCAATTCGTCATTGCCTGTCTTCTGACTATTTATTCATCACTTTGTTTCGTACGCACAGTTACATATCAACAACATAACTGAACATTCGACATTCGTGCATTTTCGGGTGTATTTTTCTCTACATTATTTCTAGATTATCTATTAGCTGAGAATATACTGATCTCGATAGATGACCGAGAGAAAACTGCCCTGAAACGGTGTGATGAAAATTGGACCAATTCGAAACGGGTAGACGTTTAGATTTGATGTGTTTGACTTTTAGAATAGAAGTAATTGCATCGAACTAAATTTTTAAAAAACGTCATAATTTGCTCTTACAGAAGAAAAAAATAAAAATGCCCCATATACTAGATTCTAGGCATGCACCGAACCCGGGAGCAGATCAAGAATCCAAGGATTCGGTCATTTCCGGTAACTAAAGTGCTCAGTTAAGTTAGCTATTTAATTGAATCACTGCTAGACATCAGGGAAAGCGAAGATTGCACCCGGAAATACCGAGACCGAACTTGCCGGAGTTCAGTCGTTCCCGAATTTGGTGTTCCCGGCTTCTTTCGATGCCTAGTGCAGGCCAAAGTACAAGAATAACTGAACCCAATATTTAGGTACCGGGAATGACCGAACCTGGAAACATCGAACCTCGGAAAGTTTGGGCTCGGTACATGACTACTAGTTTCGAACCACGTTTTTAGAATGTGTCACATGTGTTGTAGAAGGACATTTTGTGTCGTCACTGAACAAAATATTTCGAAACGAGCATCTCTCATCTTACTTCAATGTGTCGTACATTCTGTCAAAAAGTATGACACATACGGCACGTTCCATTTTAGCGTAAGTTGATGTCATTTGCAGATGAAAAATGGTAGATTGAGTTTTTTGTTAAATTTAATATAAAGTTTCATTAAAAACGATGCTCCTTTTATAAATCATATGATTTTTTTCAGTTGATGAAGGCAAATGGTTAATTGACTTATGGATTTCAATACCTATGAGCAGCAACTATTTGATGAAATATGAAATTCAAAAAGACAATTTATTTTTATGATATTTAATTTTCAGAAAGAAAATATCAAACCGTTACTTTTACTCACCAAAGTGTAAATATTGTCAATCATTGCTAAATGATTGACTGTGATTTCCGAGATGTACTAAAGATTTTGTTCTCATTCATGGTTGGGATCGGGTTATTTCTCTATTATAATTTTTTGCCGACTTCGCATTCACTTGCAGTCTTGCGATCATCATCATCAACATCACCATCACCATCACTATCATCATCAACGTCACCATCATCATCATCATCATCAAACCCTTTCACAACACTAGCACCATCGCAATATAAAGTGGTAGAGATGAATGATCGTGTTCCATCCTTTAAATTAGCGACCTATAATGGACAACCACCGTACGCAGAAGGTGATCGAGCCCAAACAGCCATTGTGAATAGTCTTCAATTAATGAAAAGATGCGCACAAGATCCATCACTCATTGTTGTCGATGTTGGTGCCTTCGTTGGTAGGTATTTTTAATACTTTTTTACTGTTAACATAGTCTCACCTTAAATATAAAAGAAATCTTAGATAAGTAAACAGTTTCAATTCACGCATGGCAAATCAAATTTACAAAATCTATAAATGAGTGCGCATTTGTGTAGAAGAAAATAAGGGTGTTGATACTTAAGGTTTGTAAAAATTTCAGGAAATTTTAGGTTGAGAAAAGTTCTCTTCCAGGGTGAGATTCAAATAAAAAGCTGCTTATCCGTTACCAGTCAATGTGTAAATTTCTTACATAACTTCTATGATTTATCTATTGAAGAGAAACTACTAAATCGCTTCCTCTTTTATTCAACACTACAAACTATTTCAGAGCTCGAATAAAAATTACTGCAAGTGATTATTGATTGATAAAATGTAGTTTTTTTTTATATCAAGTGAACTAATTTTTCTTACGTAGGTGCAGTTAGATAATGATTTAAATACATCCAAGCAGAATTCGATTAGGAGCATCTTTCAAAGCCACTGGCCATGTTCCAAATGCAACTCTAGAAGCTCTATCTTACCGTTTACATGTGTCACTCATACGTTAAGTGATACTCAGAGTAAACTTCGAAAAACCGGTTCTTGTAGCGGTTTTCTATGCACATCCGTTTCAAGTTCCTTATGACGGTCAACGACGATATTTTTCAAGTCTTAGAATGAATTTATCTGATAGTTATTAGGTTATGACAGTATATCGATTCGCATCTGATAAAAATATTGCATTTACGTTATAAGAGCCAATTAGAACTTAAAAGAAAATCAGGAAAGAAACGGAAAAACAAAAAAATAGGTATCTATAGAAAAGAATATAAATGCAAGGAGATCTGTGATTATTCTTCTCGTTGAACTCAGTATGATTTACTAGTAACCCTTTCCGTTACACATTATCTGATATATTTATGTCAGCAGACTTGAAAAGCTCACAGAATCATCCAGTGTCAATATAAAAATTACTCTGAGGTAACCAAACATATTCGTTCAATAGTCAACTCAGAACAATATAGGAACCTTTATGACTTGTTAAGAGTATTTGCATCGAATAACATGGTAGAAATCAAAACCTAGTTTTTAGCTGTCATAAAACAAAAACATTTCAAATGATCTCTTATAATCTTGAAATATTCTATTTTTCTTCGCTCTAAATGACGTCTAACTTTTATTTGAGAGGCTTGTCGACCAAAAATCATATGCACCTACAATGTTTAACAGCTCTACATAAGTAATTTAATGATATAAATGGTACGATATTTCGCATAATACGTCACGAAAAGGTTACAGTCTAATACTTTCCAGTTCATGATTCAGCCCATTGTATAACGCTCTTGCAGTTGTACTTAAAAGATATTCGTAATAAAATTCTCTATACATATGTAACTGAATTCAAATCTGACTTCACCTACTTATTTCTTTTTCACATTCTTTGCATATGCGTGATGGGCGAAGAGAATCCGGCTTTTACAGTATCTAAATACTAGATTAATTTCATTTTCAGAATTCATCTCAGCTTGAAGATTTCTTTTTTTTGTGACAGTTTAAATCTCTGTGAGAAAGTATTGTGAGGATGCCCCCCGCCCCCTCCCCCCACCCACAATTGTTTCACAAGTAGCTATACTGTAACGCCTTCTCTGTGAAGTTTATCTGCTAAAATCTGGATATATTTCGATGTGTATATACTGGTAAAATTTCATAGGTTTCGAAAAATTAATTAATAAAAGGGGAAGGAAGACATTTCTATTAAGTCCACTGCATGTTTTCTTCAGGGGCTCTTTTATTGAGTCGGAAAGAGACAGAGACCATATCATAAATGGCTCGAATCTGTAGAAAGAAGTTTATATAAGATAGCTGCGCAGTAATTTTGCCTGTATTATGTGATGTGAGAAGATATGTGTAAAACCTCAAATATTCCAGTTTTTTCTATTTATAGGCGAATTCGGATTATATGCGGCAGCATGTAACTGTCAGGTGTTTCTTTTTGAAGTACAACCACATATGGTTGATCTTATTCGAACATCGATTTCACTCAATAATTTCTCTACTTCACGTGTTCAAGTTATGCAAAAAGCTGTTAATGATTTACCTTCCAATTCTCAACTACAGTTTTCTCGGGGTGGTGGTGAAACAACAGTATCTAATGGAACTTTGTATGCATCTACAATTCGTCTCGATGATATTCACTGGTCACCACAATCATCGATTCTTATGTTAAAAGTTGATGTCGAAGGTTTCGAACTAAATGTACTCCGTTCGGCCGAAAAATTATTTCGTGAAAAGCGTATCCATCATTTAATTTTTGAATACACAGCCTGGTGGACAGACAGAGCACCTCAAAAAGATCTTATACCATTCGTTGAAAAAACTCTTGGTGCGAAAGAATTGTTTGCATTAGATCGATCAGCTTATACTGTTTATGGACCTCTGACTAGAGAAGCACTAGATCATTTTCATGATGATCATGTCAAACAACATCTTCAAACTGATATCTACGCCATTTTCGTCGAACCCAAAGAAAAATCTAATTTACAAGTTAAACCATACCAGCCTAAAATATCATTCGCATGAGTCAAGTGGTCTTTAACCGAAATTAGCAAATGATTTTGTTTCTACGAATTTTCATATTGCCTACGTGTGATCCTCTTAGAACATAAGTAGTCGGGTGTCGTTGAGTATGAATGTTGTCGTCGGGTGGGATAAGGTGCTTTCATTCTCTTTTCTATTAGTGGCCTATAACTAGCGGTGTGGCTGTGTATGAGTACGGGTGTAGGTGTGCTCTGCCCCTTAATCATACTCACACGCTTATTTCATTTAAATAGCTAGACAAAGAAAAAAAAATCAATCGTCAACAAAGATTATCAGGATCGCCATCTATATGATATATAGATGAGCGATCCTTCATCTCGTTCTCTATCCTTCTTCTGTCTTATCTTCTCTGCACTCACTCGCCAGGATATGTGCTCGTAGTGTGCGAGTCCATTGCATGATTCTTTCCTTTGTTTGTTGGTTTTTTCATGTCTTTTTTTCTCCTGTGATCGTTATGTTTTTGTGATAGCTTAGGTTCTATGCTTAGTACGAAATAAAGTCAAGATCATTTTTTTTGGAACCTAACAAAGATAAGTTTTGATAGTCTATGAGATATTTAATGTTAAGTGTTGAATGAAATGGAAATATCGCGATTAACAATAGATGCTTGTTATGAAAATATATCATCAGTTGGTTTCGACTTCTTCAAATGAATTCGTATCGTGTTCAATAGATTAGCCGATTCAACTAAAAAAAATAATTTAACTTTATTTTTAGAAGTATGAAAAAGTTGTTCTATC